GCCTCTTCCTGTACCTTTTCTCTTCTTTTGTGCGGGCACTTTTAGTAAGTCAATCTATTCTTTCACGTGGCTTCCTGTACCATGGCGTCGTCGTCCCTGGTGGCTTTGATCTAACCTTTGTACAGATTACTTAGACACTCTTTGAACTCATTGCTACTTCGGCCACATTCAGCAGGTCTGAAGATCATCGGCATCCACAACACGCACTCAATCGCTGCTACGTTCGCTTCTTCTGTCAACTATGTCGTACACCACCAGTCTCACAGGTCGTGAGCGGTCACGATGGCCGCCGCTGACGCGCATGCTCATGTCCGGAGAGATGTCGGACCAAAAAGCGCGAGAGTTGACCCGGAAAGAGAAATTTGATGTGTGGATGGTCAATGAGGGTTACCGAAGATTGTACGTTGCACTACACCGTGTGTGAAGAGCCTCGACTAACGTATCTAGTTTTGTTTTTACATTTGCGATATTGCACGTCATGGTCTTCGTCTTTGGTATGATGAACTATGGGCTAAAGGTATGAATGGATAGCTCAGATTACGACGAATGCCGCTCACAAGTCCTAGGACAACTCCATTGGTTCAAGACAGACCTTTGGTCTGACCTTCCCCATTGCTCGTTCAGCCGCTCTCGTATTGCACGTCGACGTTGCCTTCATCCTCTTCCCGGTATGCAGGAACTTAATCTCCATGGCTCGTCGTACGCCGTTGAACGACGTTATTCCTTTCGACAAGAACATCACCTTCCACAAGCTGGTCGCCTGGTCTATCGTCTTCTTCTCGTGGGTCCACACTATCGCCCATTGGAACAACCTTGCCAAGTTTTCGGCTTCCAACAACCTGGGATTCATGGGTTTCATCCTTGCCAACCTTGCAACTGGACCTGGATGGAGTGGTTATGTTATGCTGACGGCGCTCATGGCCATCGCCGTCACCGCTGCGGAGAAGGCTCGTCGCGCCAACTTCGAACGTTTCTGGTACATGCACCATCTATTCATCGTCTTCTTCATCTTCTGGTCCATCCACGGAGCCTTCTGCATGATTCAGCCCGACTTTGCGCCCTTCTGCGACGGTATCGGTGTCTTCTGGGAGTACTGGATGTATGGTGGATTTGCGTACCTGGCCGAGCGAATTGCCCGTGAAGTACGAGGACGACACAAGACGTATATTTCCAAGGTCATCCAGCACCCCAGCAACGTTTGCGAAGTTCAGATCAAGAAGGAGCACACCAAGACCCGTGCTGGACAGTACATCTTCTTGTGCTGCCCTGAGATCTCCATCTGGCAATACCATCCCTTCACGCTTACCAGCGCACCCGAGGAAGACTACATCTCGGTGCACATTCGTATGGTCGGTAACTTCACCAAGGCTTTCGGACAGGCGCTTGGCTGCAACACAGACAAGAAGCCAGCCGGCGAGAAGGGTGAGAAGGGTGGGTCCAGCGAAGAGATCGCCTTGCGTCAAATTCTTCCCCGAGTCTACATTGATGGTCCCTTCGGTTCGGCCTCTGAGGATGTGTTCAAGTTCGAAGTCGCCGTTCTCTGTGGTGCCGGTATCGGTGTCACACCTTTCGCGTCCATTCTTAAGAGTATCTGGTACCGCATGAATTACCCTCAAGGATCCCGTACGAGACTGAGGAAGGTCTACTTCTTCTGGATCTGCAGAGACTTCGGATCTTTCGAATGGTTCAGATCGTTGCTGCTGGCTATCGAGGCGCAAGATATCGATGATCACATCGAGATCCACACCGTAAGTTTTATGTCCATAACTCGCTCTTGACGATCTACTAACCCTCTTCACAGTACCTCACAGCAAAGATCAAGGCAGACGACGCGACAAACATCATGATCAACGACGCAAATGCAGAGCAAGACGCCATCACCGGTCTCCGCGCACCCACAAACTTCGGTCGCCCTAACTGGGACATGATCTTCAAGTCCATCCGCAAGATTCACTCACCCGCCGAAGCCGGTGTCTTCTTCTGTGGACCCAAGGGTCTTGGTTCAACGCTCCACGTCAAGTGCAACATGTATTCTGAGCCCGGCTTCAGTTACGTGTGGGGCAAAGAGAACTTCTAGACGCAGTCGTGGGGTTATGATAAGGAACGCGGAGAAAAAGATGAGAAGTATACCATTTGCTATATTGAGCGAATTGTCACTTATTACATGGTTGTATATAATTCGCTCCTCTTTTTGGTTGTTGTTGGTTAATCTTGAAAGCTGCAAGCGGCTGAAGACACATGTTCAACGTCTACGATATCCCATAGAATTCTTAATGATGCAATTCGAATACCAAATGTCCGCATCCCCAACATCCCATGCCGATCTAACTGTCCAGACTTGCCGATTCCAAGATCAGCCTAATTAGCCTGGCTCCCTCAGATTTCAGGCAGCCGTTGATCCCAAGTACCAGTATCACGCCACTGTCGTTCATGCGTCCAAGCCACTCAAACACTCCGAAACCCTGCGTGCCGCATCGCGAGATGAACCGCTCCTCGCCACGGGTAACGGCAATGCTCGGACTCCGCGGGATCTACGCTTGTTACCGAGCGATGGGGTTGGGTGGTCCTTGTCCGGACGCGGTGGCCATGGGTGGGCCGCGGACAGTGTGACGCAAATTCGGGAGAGGAGACGGTGGTCAAGCTTTTGGTGTCTCGGGAGCCAAGAGCTTGGTGTCGGAGCATGTGAATGATTGCAAATACGACGATCGATGGAGGGTGAACCCTATAGTTTGCTTACGATGAATTGGTCATCGTGATACTTCGGTGTGTTCTACATTCCTTTTTTCCATCCCTTCGCTGACCAATCGTTGATCTCTACCAACCCTTCTATCTCCCTCACTCCGGGCTTGATACCCTCGCCAACACTGGTGTCATGGGCTCCAATGACCCACACGTTGTCTTTTCGCGCGAAACTTCTTGTGCGCAGCATTGTATTCACTGCCTGTTCTGGGTCGGCGTGCATGCCTGACTTCGCATATGGTGGTCTCGCAGTGCGTTTGGGCTCTTTGAGAACGTCGAGATGGTGGTAGCAGTCACCAGCCAGCAGTACAAACGTGTTCTCGTTCTCGGTCGAGCCCGATGTCGTTCGCACTAGCATCATTTGATGGCCCGGAGAGTGTCCTGGCGCATCCACGATGTATGCTGAGCCGTCACCGAAGACGTCGTAGGCGCGATCAAATGCACCGAGACCCATCCATTCGGGCTTCTTTAGATCAACAGCGGCATACTTTCCCTTGACCATGCCTTCCATGACCTGACCTGCCCTCTTATCTCCTGCTTCTCTCAAGATATCATCTGGCACATAGCTCTCTACAATCTTTCTGCTACCATCAACCGGCAAAGTCTCGCTAAGCGTAGGAGCCTTCTCATCAACCGGATAACCCGGTCTCGCGTAGGTACAGCAGGTCGGCCCAACCCACAACTCCGCCTCTTCAAATCCAGCTTTGGCTCCATCGCCAACATGATCAAAGTGCATGTGCGAGAAGATAACGGCCTTGACTTTCTCGGGCTGTTGATCAGGTGATCCGTGCTCTTGCAGTATCTCTGCGGGAGACTTCGGTTCGCACTTGAAGTTTGGTAGAGCGCCTTCGACGAGAAGTGGCGGAAGGTTCTCCAGATCTTTTCGCATGCCTAGGTCGAAAATGTACTTATTCCCGGTGGCTGTGTGCTCGATGAGGAACACGTAGTCTGGAGCATAGAACGACTTGCGTTTTCCGTTCTCGTCTTTAGAGTCGTTCGGGTCTTGCGGCTTGTCCGGACCGGGAAGCAAGACCATGTCTGTAGGGATGTGGATGCCGCCGGCCTGAATGAGGTGAACTTTGCATGTTGCGGTGGATGACGGTATGGAATGCCATGGTAATTGATTTGATGACTCGGACATGATTGTGCTAGATACGGATTGCTATCGGGATGGGAGCGTGCTGTTGAAATGGGTACGTTCAAAGAGTCTGTTTAGTTACTGACCTTAGCATGACATGCCCTTGTATCGATGACGTCAATCAAATCCATTTCCACTATTGTACCGTGTATTGCGTACAAGCCCGCTCAGATTCCAGCTGAAGCTTGAGAGTGGCAAGCTATAGCCCATATCTCGTAAGCATACATGCAAAAGCATCCTGCTTTATTACTGCTCCTCGAGACCATGTCGGCGCCCGCGCACACACACATTTTGTGCGGTCAGGCTGGAACCAAAGTCGCGTGAGCGCAGACCTATCTCGCTCTTGGGAAGATTGTATCATCTTGTACACCGAAATTTGTACACCCAGGCATTCCCATCACAGAATGACGAAAGGGCGACCCGAGAGAATTTGGAAGGGTCTTTCGCCGAATGCGGACTAGAGTGACGCGCTAGCCACGCGAGCAATCAGACGCGTCTACCAGCTTCTTCTCATCTTCTCTTAGCACTCTTCTTCCCAGCTCATCTCGTACCGAAACGCAGCCGTTCACGGCAGCAGGTCCTTCGAGGTCATCTGAGGCATACGAATCCACTCGGTGGAAATTGATCACTCGCACTAACCATGACAAACTCATCCCCTCAGCCTACAGCAGCTTCGCCTGATCCGCATAAGCCTCAACAAGTGCTGGAGGATTTCACAGAAGTCCCGACTCGAGGTTCCCAGCAGGTCCCCGTTCTGACACCAGCACTGCGATCTTCAGATCCCTACGCTCTACAATGGTTGCCCTCTCGTCCGCCAACTCCACCACAACCGACATCAGCACCTGTGCAAGGACTGCATTGTCCCCAGGCAGTCCCGTTTCAGCAACTTACCCTGGATGGTCTGAATAACGATGTTCTTGCCATCGTTATAGACTACATCCACGAGGAATCCACAATGCAGGTCTGCCACTGGAACTGGAATATCGGGCGCAAGGAACCGAAGACGGGCTTTGGCTTTCGTGCTAAAGGCACTTCACTTTTCTGCCTGTCACTAGTGAGCAAGAGAATGCGAGCAATCTCTATTCCCAAGCTTTTCGCGCATGTTTTCCGTTGCGCCTCTTCCATGGGCGCCCTCAATCGACGCTTGAGAGATTTGGAAGGCAATCCGCTTATTCCATCCCTTCCTGAGGTTCTACCAGCCATCAAGTATGTATGGGTCTGTATTATGGATAGTTTGGGCATTCGGGTCGTTTCTATGCTAATCTCATAAATCCAAAGGGCTTGTGATATAGTCACCACGTCGAGAGGCAAGACAACATTCTGCAGGACTCGACTTGCCAAGGCTCTTCCGAAGATGGTGTCTCTCGTTGAGCTGTCCATTACACATCGTAAGGACGTCGATATATCCGGCCTACGAGCGACCTTCCAGCGCCATGAAGTTACTCTTCCCACGGTCCTACGTCTACGCATTCTGTCACATGGCGACTGGTCATTCCTGGTGGAGGCCTGTCCTAACACCGAAACACTGGCTCTTGAGTACAACCTTGGTCACGATGATCTGATGGAGACAGTAGCAACTCTCAAGAGATTGAAACTTGTCGAAATTTGCTGTGACGCGTGGCAACTGGAAGACATACAACGCTTGCACCAGTATTTACCAGATCTCCAGAGCTTGGTCTTGAGAGGCGCAATCGGCCATGAACAGATCAGTGTACGAGCGCATAGTGCCACTCGTTGTAACGTTTTTTCATGTTAATTCACACTTAGAGTTTCGCAACCGCTTTCGGCTTGTTTCAGAGGCTCACCGATCTCTCCATTACTGCCAGGCAAGAGATCACCGATGAAGATGAGGAAGAGCAGTTCTCCGATGACGATTCAGGAGATGGCAGCGCCGTTGGGGATATGTATTGGGAACATGAGCTCGACGAAGAGCAAAGTTTCGTAGCTAGGAGTTTCTTCGAACACTGCCATGTACTCGAAACGCTGTCCCTGGTGCGCGTTGGCGAGACCACGCCGTGGTACCCCGTACGTGGAAACGATGGAGCTCTCGAGTCGGTTTACTCTCCACAAATGGACCGCCGGGCGTGGAATGATACCTACATGCTGGAAAGACAGGAGCACGATGACGAGGGCTTCCCTAGGCTCTTCACCTTTCGCCGACAAACCGAGTACGACGAAAGCTGGGATAATCCTAGTTATGGGGATCAGAGTCGTGAGGCCACGGAGCACAGGGTAAGTGGAACCATTCTGTAAAGTCGAAATACATTTAACATAGATCAGCTTAAGGAGCGAGACAGGTACTATGCTATCAAGCAGGAGGCTCTCGGGCTGGGCCTGTGGGAAGGAGGCTCTAGATGGCATGGATAACTCACGTACCATCGCGTACATCGGCATACATGGATATGTCATCACTCGGCAACCGACTGAAAGATACTTGCCAACCCGCACAGAGATCTTTGTAGATTATATGACACCGCCATGAGCATCGCTACTTACCTTTCTATCAACGTGATCGATAACTTTTTCACGTACCCTCAATCGACTTACTCCATCTTCCCCTACAAGACTGTGCACCTTTTCTTCGCCTTACACTCATCACACTCGCCGCCCTCCTCCTCTTGATATACCACCTCCAAGTTCTCCAAAAGGTCCGGGCATCGCGCACCTCTACGATTAGAATCCTGGCACCCGTTCAACGTAGTGTCCTCATGTGTTGGCCACTATTTCGAAGTCAGTATATGTCTTATATCCATTTCGTATGTCTCGGATCTTACCTCAGCGTATGGGTCTGATTGATTAGCATCCTCTTTGGCACTTGGGCGTTGGCGGCCTGGTTTGTGGATAGGAGAAACATGGCCGCATGCGTACTTTGTAGGCCGGAGGTAGCACATCTGTAGTTACGGATGCTGTGGATTTGCAGTAGGTGGTAGGAGTAAAGTATTGGAGCTACAGCGATATCAATGAGTTTTGAGTCAAATGTGCGTGATCACCTGGGCAGTGTTCCTAATTGTTGATGGACCTGAGAAGTAAGAAGCGCTAAAACGAAGACCGGTGTGATATAGTGGCACAGTAGCGGAGAATTAGCGTGGCGTTCTAGTTAAGGTTTTCTTTGCGTGAATGGACATTGTTGCTCGGATCTCTTCACAGCCTCCGCACGGCGCCTCCGCTAGCGTGGCCGCGACTATGGTCATGACACATCACCAGCACAGTGTACACAATGGTAGAAATTCAAGAATGCTTACAAGACAGACTATGTGTATAACCGCGGTAACAATCAATGCCAAACGCCAGATTGAAATCAACACAACGCTCGGCCAATCCGCCTCCGTAACCAAGTATAAAGTCGAATATATACACTTGAGATGAAGGTAAGGATATGCCAGCAAGCCAAGGCCTACTTGGCCAGTATCGGTGCTGCCTTACCGGCCTTTTCTGCCGCAATATTCGCCAGCTTCTGGAGCTTCTCGGCGCGTACTTGGCGGAAGTATCGGAATAGCAAGATGAAGGAAAGCTCGATGCGCTCTTTGGTCATCATGAGGAAACCCTGGACGAGCAGGCCCTTGAGGATCTGGGGTCCGATGCCCTTGAATAGCGCCGCCGGGCCTTCGTGTTGTATGATGTATTGCATGACTTCGGTGAAGGACTTGAAAGGCTTTCCGTTCCTGGCTGGTGGAGGTTTCGATTGAAGACCGACTTTCGCGACGATGAGCGGCTGGGTTGCGATTGTGGCAAGCGTCTTGGACATGGCTCCGATGACTGACAGATGTTAGTAGCTTTCCTTGAGTTATGGTAGTGGCCATGGCTTACGGAACGCCTCGAGGGGCTTCAGCGTCTTCTTTCCTGGGTACATGACTTCCCGTAATCGCTGGTACGCTCCGTATGTGATTGATGGGTTGATGACGAGCACCAGACTCGCCCTGAGTCCTCGCCAAAGCCCCGTCCAGCCGTCATCACCGTTGACCACGTCCATAGCCGTAGCGATCATGCCCTTGCGCTCCGCCTTGCTCATGGTCTGTTGCCTCGTCGTTACGACTGCGACCGGGATTGTGAAAAGCTGGGCGAGCGCTCCCGCGAGCGCTCCAAGGGAGAGTTCGACCGGCGTGCTCGGTGACGTTTGAAGCGTGCGGTTCGCCATGTAGAGGCTGCGTACCACGGTATACCAGTAGAAATAGGCGAAGTTGGTCGATGCTACGCCGAGCAGAGAGCCTCCTATGCCGGCGTATAGTCCAGAAAGACCCTCCTGCGCAAAGACCTTCTGCAACGCGTCGATGGCGCCATCGTAGTGTTCGTGGTCGGCGGGATTGGGGTCGTTGGACGTAGGCGAGCGCTTAACCTGGACCTGTAGTCGCGTCTTGATCCTGAGGTTGTATTAGTATCTTTGCGTTCTGCCCAAAAAGGCTCGGGGAATTTGCGACGTACAAATCTAGGGGGTAGACAAGGGTGTTTGCGATGACGGCACCAGCGGCGCCTGCGACAGCATTACCCCATGGTGGAAGAGTTTCTACCTTTGACTGGCCGGCCATAGTGGTAGTCGAGCACAGCTGCTAAGGGTTGGCGAAGTGTTGCGACTGCGAAGTGTGTGACGGGCGGAGGATATGGTGTGGAATCAGCGACTAATTCGGACTATCTCATCATGACAGTAATAATCTGAAGACTGGAGATAGCAGCATCGGAAGTTAGAAAAAGCGGGCAGGGGACGTTCATGGTGCCCGCAACGCGATAGCGCTGTCGCATGCATGGCTGACCTCTCCCGAGGTCCTAGAGGCCGAGGTTCAGGTTCGGATGACGACACACCCTGCTCCCTTGGACCTTCCTTCACCGCAGCCGCTGTCGATCACTTCGGTGAAAGTGAGCAAGCCGTGCCTGGCTGGATATGCCTCTCACGTGGAAGGAGACGTCTAGATCCGTCACTTATGCGCTGGAACTGGCTGTTCCTGCTGCAACTGGCAGTCGCGACGGCCGCCGTTTGGCAGGAACGTGCGTCGCGCTAAGACTCAGCCCCAGATCACAACATCACAACACCAAAGCACCATCACAGCTTCTTAGTGCGCCTTGACTCCACTCACCCATAGTCAGTCGCATCGCTATGGCACAACGCAAGTAGCTTCGTCGTCGCTGCTAGTATTGGTCAAATTTCTCTTACCGTGTCCTGTCTCAAGCTACTTACGATGGCTGACCGGGCTACTGAGATTGAGGCTTACAAGGCGGCTGCAAGCGTATGTGATACAGACAACTAACTTCTCGCTGCGACATCAAGTCCCGCGTTGTAGCTCCAACTAATCAAGCTGCCAGGACTATCGCTCGCGGGTTGACAAAGCCGCTACCAAGGATGAAGCATTCAGTCTCGCAATTAGCGTGGCCGAGAACCTCATGGAAGCGATCCAACTATCGTCAAACCCAGACGAAAGGAAGGAGCTCAAGGCGCAATGCAGCGACATGTTGACTCGCGCCGATCGCATCAAGGCCGATGAAACATGGACACCTCTAGTCAAACCCCAGTCCTCCAGCTCCAGAGATGAGCGAGTAGGTCAATGGGCCAAAGAGGTCGCCGGGACTGCAACTCCAGGTACAACCTTTGGAGACTCGACCACGCGTTCAAACACGTCCCGTTGGGCTCTTTCTTCGACAACAGGACCTATCGACGGTCCAGCTGCTTCAGGTAAATCATCAGCTTCTTCATTCTCAGCATTCGTTCATCAGTCAGATCTCTCTTCAGCCGTTCCTTCTTTCCAGCAAGATGCGCGCCGAGATCTAATGCCGCTTATTGATCTTTCGGATGACGCCTTTCCAATCGATGTACCAAGTGCAGTCACTGATGCGTCACACGAAGATAGCTCAAACGCCAACATTCACCGTGACAACCATCCGAAGAACGGACACGAATCCGTGTTGAATTCATCTGCAGTGCCACAGCCCTCTAGCGCAGAGTCCCAGCCTGGAGTACCCGAGTCGCAAACAGCAGCTCTAACGCCCTCAACCGCACCTCATTCTCAGATACACAGGCTACGAGAGCCGATTTCGAGCAGGAAACTACCCACAAAAGAAAGCATCATTTTGTTGAAGGCTTCGACAGTCAATGGCTTCAAGTTTCCACCTTGGGACAAGACTCCATCTGCGGATGAATTCGTGTCGGAAGGCGAGGCTGCCTACACGTACGTTACCCAATGGTCATACTGGGGCTGTTCAGACATACTGATAGCGATAGGGATACACGAGACCTGAGTCTGTCTTCATACCAACAGCAGTTCTTTCTCGGGTGGCTGCGTGCCAAAGAAGCTGTGCCGCCACCCTCGCAGTTCCCTAACGGTAGGGCTGGTATCGGGCCCTTGATGTCTAGCACGAGGCCTCTCGATCTTGTACAGGATGCAGCTTCAGATTGCTCGGTGGTCACAAGCTTATGCGCTGGTATTGCTCGCTCAGAACGCGGTCACGATCAGGTTTGCCATCCTCGGAAATTCTGCAGTATCGGTACTAACCGTGGCAGATGCTCACGAACAAGATATATCCATATGACAAGCACCTTGGAAAGCCGTTGAACTCGTCTAATGGCAAGTACATCGTACGACTCAACTTCAACGGCTGTTGGAGAAAGGTGGTTATCGACGATCGACTACCTGTCTCAAAGACACATCGTCTGCTTCATGTTTTCGACCGCCGTAATCCAGCCCTCTTATGGCCAGCACTACTTGAGAAAGCATACCTGAAAGTTCGCGGCGGTTACGATTTCCCTGGAAGCAACTCGTGCAGTGATCTCTGGACCTTGACGGGCTGGATACCAGAACAGGTCTTCTTGCAAGAGTAAGTTGTTTCTTCTCTAATCCCATAGCTGACCATACTAACTCTTATAGGGCCGATACGGTTCCAGATCAGATATGGAAGCGCATACACAACGCCTTCCTGTACGGCGATGTTCTGGTCACAGCAGGTACTGGCAAGATGTCGACCAGGCAGGAGCGTGAACTTGGTCTCGAGGGCCAACACAGTTACGTCGTGCTGGATATGAGGGAGACAGAGCATGATCGACTGTTGCTCGTCAAGAATCCATGGGTCGAAGGCAAAGGCTGGCGCGGCCCTCGCCCTTCGGCTGTGACGACCATGGATCCGCCTGCTTCTACCTCCAGTCGTAGTTCTAACTACAGCCTTGAGAGTTATCACAGGGATAGCGTCCCCACTCAGGATCGGCCGCATCCAACGACATTCTGGATTGGATTAGAGCAGGTCATACAACACTTCGAGAGCCTGTATCTCAATTGGAACCCTGGTCTTTTCCGCTATCGACAAGACATTCATTTTGAGTGGAACATAGAATCATCGTCGCCAGGCGGTTGCATTGTCAAACATCCACAATTCGCCTTTACGTCCAAAGGTGCCGGACCTGTATGGTTCCTCCTTAGTCGCCATTTCCGAGACGTACCAGCAGTCACCAAAGAGGAGTCAGATGCGTTCAACGACGGAAGCATTCGTCCCGACACTCAGGTCAACACCCACGGGGATGCACCGAAGGGATACATGAGCATATACATTTGCAACGGCCAGGGAGAACGCCTATACATGAAGGACACATACCTGGAATCGAGCGACTACGTTACTACACCGCAGTGTCTCCTTCGCAGTGACGCGGATGCCAACTCGACATACACAGTGGTGATTGATCAAGACGACTTACCTCCATCACTGTACACTTTCTCCTTGTCTGCGTTTGCGAACTTTTCGATTACACTGGAACAGGCGGCGCAGCGGTACCCGTCGCAGAAGACTGAGGAAGGTGCATGGACAAGGCAGACGGCCGGTGGTGGTACAGACTCATCGAAATATTTCGACAATCCTCAGTATTCGCTCACTGTCCGTGAGCGTAGCTCGCTGGCCATCTTACTCACCAGCACGAACCATGAACATCCCCTACACGTCAAACTTGCTCTAGGATACGGAAAGAGGTTATATCGCTTGCAGAGTCGCGATGTGCTAGCAGACTCGGGTGACCATCGCAGTGGATGTGTCCTCGCAGAGATCAAAGACCTTCAACCAGGCTCCTACACAATCATTTGCTCCTTGTTTGAAGCTGGTCTGACTGGTGACTACCAACTCCGAGTTGACAGCACAAGCGAGGTGGTGTTGAAGCAAGTGCCGCGCGACGGGGCGGGATTGCTCTCGATGAAGCTCGCTCCGGCGTGCTTTGGTGCCAGCATACATAAGGTTGCTGCCCCATTGTGGCCTAGGCGCTTAGCTTCGTATACCATCATCGCCAGATTCTCGAAAGCAACGAGCCCTCGCGCCGTCGATTTGGGCAAGCTAGCGCGCAGTCCGTTCCGATTGAGTGTCGAGATGGGTCGAGGCCCGGAGCGCAAGTTCATCATCGCAAGTGAGCAAGGAGAGTACTCTGACACTGCTACGGTTCGGTCCGAGAGCGTCAACATCGATCCGAAGCTCGGGATGCAAGGCGAACTATGGCTCGTTCTTGATAGGCTGTCAGGCTCTGGGGGACCGGTAGAGGAATGGTACGATGTGGAAATCTACACCGACACGCCCAAGGCCTGCGAGATTGGCGTATGGCGGGAATGGGATGATTGATGACTTTACGATAGCGCAGGGTACGATGGACGGCGTTTAGGGGTGGCCGACGGTCATTTGCACTGTCGATCAAATCGATCACGCATTAGCCTGCACGACTGGAGCTTTGGCGTCGTTGTGTGCATTTATTGGAAGCGAGAACGTCAGGCTGCACCATCACGCTTGAGTTGATGGATTTGCGTATCAGCAAAATAGATCATGAGTTCTCTTACACATCTCATGCGGTTCCACGTGTGTGAAGTGGGCTACTTGTAGTTGTGAAACCTGGTAGGGGGGAGAGTCGGGTGGCGAGACTGCACCCAATCAAGCGATGCACGATCTGTTATGCATGTCCCTATTGCGCGTTTCGACCTTGCAGCAGACGCGCATGTTGGGATTAGAGGTACGATAACGGCACGCTAAGCAGAAGAACAGCAGCCCCTGCAACTTGAAGATAACCATCCAACTTGCATGTGCATGCTGTTTTCCATCTGCTACTGCTCCCCCTTCTCTCTCCACTACCCCGCTGCGACCAGGTTAGAGGCTATCGGCTGCGCTACGTCAGAGCTCCGGCGCGTGCCAAGGGAACCCGAAAAGCGCACCGCCTCAACACCTGACGACATCATCGATCGTTACCTAGATATAGCTTCGCGCCTCTATCTCCACTTGCCATTACTCTCTTGAGTAAAACCCATATCCCAGCAACCATGGCGGACCTTGCGCCAGAGAAGGCCCAACCGGGCTCTGCAACCACGTCCGCCCTCAACTCGCGGGACAATTCGCGGGCTGCCACACCGTCAAGCGCTGCCGTCGAGAAGGCTCCGGATGACAGCTCCAAGTTCAAGACCTTCCTGGGCATTTTGAGGAGGTAACGTAGCACCATCCGGTCACAGCAGACGCGCGAAAGCTAACTCCGTCCTTCTCCAGGTTTATTGGCGTCTCCGACCTCGCTGCTGTCCGCTTCTCCCTCCCCGCACAACTCCTCGAACCAAGGCCAAACTTGGGTACGTTATATGAATATAGAACTGCGATGGCTAGCCTCGCAAGCTGCTGTGGCCGGACTATCATCTGACCAAGAGCAGAGTACTGGCACTACTTGGACAGGCCCGACACATTCATCAGGTTAGCATAAGCCAGATGCACACTGCAGGAGTGGTTACTGACCTCCACAGTATCGGAGATTCGGATGATGATCTGGGGCGCATGCTGGGGTGCTTGCGCTTCTGGTTTACCAAGGACCTGGTATGAGGCACGCTCCGGTGAGGAAGGCATAGCTAATGCTGGAACAGAAATACGTCAAGGGCAAGCCTTGCAAGCCCTACAACTCTACTTTGGGCGAGTTCTTCAGGGTACGCTTCCGTCGGAAATTACACGAGCTGGTTACTGACTCTCGCAGTGCAACTGGAAGATCGAAGACACCCACCCCACCCTCAAGACCCCCAACTCGGCTCCCTCGAGCGCCTCCAACAGCGTCAAAGGCGATGGCAAGACCGTCACCGTCTCCTACCTCACCGAGCAAACCTCCCACCACCCTCCCGTCTCCGCCTTCTATGTCGACTGTCCCGAGAAGGGCATCAGTGCGCGCGGTTATGATCAACTGAGCGCCAAGTTCACAGGTACAAGTGTACGAGTGGTGGCTGGAGCGCACAACCTGGGTATATTCATCACCCTGAAGAACCGAGGCAATGAGGAGTACCAACTCACTCACCCAGCCGCCTACCTTGGGGGCATTCTGCGAGGTAAGCTATGAGAGCATATAAGTACCGTAAAGGTGCTGACTTTTTCTACAGGCTCCCTCAACGTCTCTGTCGCGGACAGCTGCTTCGTTACCTGCCCAAAGACCGGACTGAAGGTCATCCTAGAATACCAGGAGGAAGGCTGGCTCGGTCGATCACAAAACAAGGTCTTGGGTGTCATCTTCAAGTACGACCCCAACAACGATTCGATTACCAAGATCAAGGATGTCGCGGAGAAGGACGTCCTCGCGCGGATAGAGGGCAACTGGCAGGACAAGGTCTACTATACCCTTGGCAGCAAGCCATTTGCTAAGGTCGCTGTAAGTACACTGAGCGGCGGTCTGGATCACAGCCTAACATGAAGCAGGAGAAGAACCTCATCATCGACCTCAATCCGCTTGACCCCGTAGCCAAGATCGTCCCACCGCTCGAGCAGCAGCTTCCCAACGAGTCCCTCAAGTTCTGGGACGGCGTCACGAATGCCATAGTAGGCAAGCAATATGGACTGGCGACGAACCTCAAGACAGAAATAGAAGAGAAGCAACGGCAGAAGGCTGCAGAGCGAAAGGCGGCGGAGAAAGAGTGGAAGCCACGATTTTTCACCGGCGCAGTCACACCTGTCGGTAGGCCAGACCTCACCAAGGACGGCGAGGAAGCGCTCAAGGGCCTGCACGCAGAGAACTATCAACTGCCACCAAACGAGGAATACGCCGCGTTTTGATCGAATCCGCTCGTTTCGCATACTTACCTTGGGAAGAGATTGCAGAACCCGGACGAACCAGTACAATAGGACCTTCACTACGATATCCATTACATCTTGACACTTTGGGGAACATGACACCCTCATTTGGCATCATTTACAACTTCGGCACGCGTTTTGTTGGTTAAGAAGGGGAGCATGGCTAGTTCGGCGTTCCGTACATAACATTTGGGGACTTACACACATGGTGTCTGTGTCTTTTCTGTCACGATTATCTTACGAATAGATCTCTCAGACTGCTTGCCTTGTTAGAGGCTTTCTGTCGGTTGACGCCCTTCAGTGGGAGCTTTGACTCATCGAACGATTATCCAAATGCGCCTACTTTATTTCCATGCAACAACTTGAGCAAGCTATCGCGACCAGTTTGACGAGAGTGTAGAAGACTATGTGGCAGGTGGAATCTGAACCACGTGCAAGGGCGTGTATATGAGGTATCCAAGGTGCATTTAAACCATGTTGTTTGGACAGTCTGGTTTGGATGTAGGTTCCAGAATGGTGTTTTAGCTTAAGTTGAGGAGACAGGAGTTGGTTGAGACTTGGTTGAGACTTGGTTGAGAGTCGGCCTCTATCTTGCTGCACAGAAAGAATTGGACAATATTTCATTCCATCTTTCAGCTTCATCGTATTGATGGAGTACCATTACAAGTCAGTCAAGTTTATCGAGCGGACTAAATCGTTGCCTCGTATGCATACCACGCGTATAAACATATGTGCGCGCATTTGTTCTGCGATTTCTCATGTCTCAACGAGGCATGATGTCGAGAAGAGACTGTTACGCGTTATGGAGAGGCAAAAAGTACGCGTTGTGCCGTGCTATGATATCTCGATCGGTTTGGTGATGTGCATTATCATCAAGAAATCGAACACCAGAAGCCCGAGACTTTTCTTCGTACTTACATCGGCCATATACATCACCAAAGCAACCTACGTAACAGTCACTAGGTTCATCACATCACGCGGTTCAATTCATAAGTTCTAGTATTTTGTTGAATTTTTTTTGTACGATTTTGATGTGTTTTTGATGCCTACCCAAGCGATGTCGCGACAGGATCATGAGTCGAAGAGACATACTTGAGCGGCCTTGAAAAAAAAGTATCGCGAGCTCCAAATGACAGCTGCATGAAAAGCCGCCGCGGTGGATCTGGAGGTGACGATGGAAGACATGGACAATGCCGCCTTCTCCGCCACGCTATGCAATGCCATCGCTATCGCCCTTCGTAACCGTGCTGTTCTCGGCAACCCATCGTAGGCCACAGAATTCGCCAGTACTAATACAAACAAGTATTCACACAAGGTACTACATGCCATATCAAACGCAACCAGTGCTGCGCATGTGAGTGTGGTTGAGCAGGAATGTCGTAAAACACCACTTCGTAAACGTCCGGGAACAGCAACGTCATTAAGCGATGTCGTGATACGAACAGCGCGATCACTGCAAACCAGCCTTATTGGTCTTGACAGTGTGGGGAATAGGCTTTAGGATGCCCTTGTTGTCGCCAGCACCCAGAGCTTCGCCGTTGGACCATCCCATTTTCATCATCAAGGCATGGCCCTTGCTCTCAGGACCGAGCTCTGGCGCATTCGCACCAACAGTCTCGCCATCTTTGTAGCCCAGTTGAGGACGTGTGCGCGCACCACCTTGCTTGTGCTTGACGGTGGAAAACTTGCCAGGACGGCCGCCGCCACCACCCTCAGAGTAAAGAGGACCTTTAAGGCGTTTCTGGAAACCCTTCTTCGCAATCGCGATATCGAATTCGTCGTCCGTATAGGTGCGGGTACGGTTGGTCTTCGACAGAATGGTGAACCTGTCCATACCACTTCCCCGAGAACGGGAGTTCAGATTGAAGAATGAAGCAGCCTGGTGGACGGTGGCGCGGCGATAAGCCTCCATGGGTGGAAGAGACAATGTCTGCATGTCGCCTAGCAAGAACTCACGAAGCTCTTCGACAATGTCTTCCATATCGATGCCACCCTGGTACTTGACCTTGAGGTTGGGGCCCTTGCCCTTGCGACCTAACAAGCCTTGTTGACGCAACTCTTCGCGCTCGGCCTTCTTCAGACGCTTCTTGGCTCTGTCATTCGCCCACGCGCTTTGCAACTGCTCGTTAAGATCTGAATTATCCAACTCTGGCGGTGGCTGACCACGTCGACCCTTCTTTTTGGGTTTAAGCGATGGGCGCTCAGTGTCCATGATGTCAAAGCCGCCATATGGATCCATATCGAGGGCCGCAGCCATAGCAGAAGCGGAGGGGAAAGTAGGCTCTCTTTTGCCCCGGCCACGTCCCTTTCCCTTTTTGTTGGACCTGCCGTTACCGCCATATGAGTAGTTCTTAGATGGGCCCGATCCACCAAAATATTCATCGCCACCATAGAGCATCACTTCGTCGCCACCTTGACCAAGCTCTTCTTGCTTCTGCAAGACCTTTGCGATGGTCTCATCATCCCAGTCTTCATCTTCTTCATCTTCATCGTCCTCATCCTCGGAGTCGTCCTCGGAGTCGCTGCTGGAGAGCATTTGCTGCTCA